TTGGTTGTTTTTGAATTCATGATATTGTCAAGTATTGTGTGGATGGGCTTTTCTATAACACAACATTTGTTGTGGATGATGGTCTGTGTAAATATGGTAACTACCTAAATGCCTATTTTGACATTTCTACTTCAAACCAGTGCGCTTGCAATCAACAAACAACAACTATGTCAAAGTTTTTGTTATTTAACTAAATTTTAAAATCGGATATTTCTATTTATTTTTTCTTAAATAAAATTAAAAAATTAAAATAAACATATTATTATTATTATTATTATAATCCATGGGCAATATAAGAATTTTACCCTATCACTAATCACTACTTAAAAAACTAAAATTCATCAAGAATATTTAGAGAGGGAAATGTGAATTTTCTCATTTTCTCTAATCAATATTGTCTCATTTTGTGACAAGGGAACTAGAGAAAGATTTTATTTTTATGGTCACTAATTTGCGCAGTTGATTTTAATGTTTCTAGTAGTGGATTGTTCCATCCTTAATCATGTACTCCTTAAAAGTCAAATTGTGTATGAATCTTCAAATAGACCAAAAACAAGCTAATATAATTGAGTGTAAGCTTTCACGCACTTGTCTAACCTCAATATTCTTCTTCATAGTTTTTCAAACTAAAAAGAAAAATGTTGTAAAAAGTAGTGTGATTTTTTTTGTACATTAACAAGTGTGAAAACAAGAATAAAATAGGAGTTATGTGTATTTTATTTTATCTTTTTATAAAAATTCAACCACCTCACATGGTAATATCAGAATTTGAAAAGCGACTGCATGTTGTCCCCACTTGACTCAGCTCCATTATTGTTATGTTAATGTTAACAGAGCACTGGCCCTGCAAATTAAAATGATTAAATTTTAGTACCAAATTTGTATTTAGTTTCCATAATTAGAATATTTGTTTTGGATATAATTCCTGCAGCCCAATACTCACAACTTAGTACTTTAATTTTATAATTATGTTTTCATATCCCTATAGTTATACTAATATTCTTTTTTTTTTTTAAATGATAATTTTATTTTTGTTTATTTTTTATTATTTTATTTTTTACATTTTACTATTTCGATTAGACATCCAATAAGTACGGTAAACAAAACTAAGATTTTCAGAAGACTTTAATCAAGATTTCCGGTAGGTTAACAATTATTTCCGAAAGACATGAACAAAGAGTTCTGATTTATAACAAAGCATATATCAAAAGACTAACTAAAAAAGTTCTGATTTGTTACAAACATATACCGGACCACTTTTTGAAAGTCATCCGGTATGTTAGTTCCCTTTTCTGAAGATATTTTTGAAGATATCTGGTTAATTAAAATTACATACCGGAACTCTTTCCTAAAGTGATTTGATTTGCTTTTTAAAAAAAAATGTATAGTGCAGGTATGGAAATTCCTCCAAAAATATGTGTAGATACTTCTGATATTTTTTCAACTACTCAAAAATTTGGTACACGAGAATAGCTGATAAGTTGGGTTAAAGAGGTTGGAATTCGAAATAAAGTAACTGTTATTATCACTCGTTCAGATACTGAAACAGACAAGAGAGGAAGAAGTGACAAACTAATATTTGATTGTGATAAAGGTGGAAAACACAAGGATACTGATAGTGGTACTCAAAGTGCAACGAAAAATATGGATATCCATTTAAAATCAGGTCGACTCCGACGAAAGATGGGTCTGGATGGAAGGTTGATGTAAAATTAGGAGTTCATAACCATGGTTTACCTGATAGATTATAAGGTCATTTCTTTGTTGGTAGGTTGACACAGATCAGAAGCAGCATGTTGTTGATTTGACAAAGAGACATGTTCCACCTAAACACATTACTTTCACTTGAAAGAGCGAGATCCAAAGAATGTCACTTGGATCACGCAAATATATTAGCGTAAGAGTATGATAGAAAAAGAGATAAGAGGTCCTAGAAGTGAGATACAAAATTTATTTAAGCTTATAAAGGATGCAGGTTATGTTTATTGGAGTAGAAAAAGAGATGACTCTGAAGTTATTAGAGATATATTTTGGGCCTATCCAGACTCAGTTAAGTTGTTGAATATTTTTCCTATTATGTTAGTTATGGATAGCACCTACAAGACAAACAAATATAGGCAACCTCTATTTGAAATTGTTGGCATGACATCAACCGAGTTGACTTTTGTTGTCGCATTTGCGTATATGGAGTTTGAGCAGACTGGGACTTTTTGTTGGGTGTTAGATAAGCTTAAAGAATTGTTTGTGAAGAAAGATTTGTGTCTACAAGTGATTGTGACAGATAGAGATCTTGCTTTGATGAAAGCAATTGAAACTGTGTTTCCAAGGTCAACCAATTTGCTATGTCGATTTCACATTAACAAAAATGTTGGTGCAAAATGTAAGCAATATGTGATTAGTGACATGCAAAAGACGATCGAGGACTTATAGACTGAAGTTGTATGGGTTAGTGACGAGGTTGAGTATGATCAACGGTTGCAACAGCTTGAGCAGGCGTGTGTTAATTGTAATGAATTTCTTGATTATGTGAAAGACACATGGTTGACACCACATAGACAGAGATTTGTTGGAGCATGGATTAATGGAGTGCTACATTTGGGTAACATCACGACTAATCGGTATGTATCTTTTTAGTAATATTTTTTACTATGTGCTTATTTTTAGTATTTTTAAATTGTATATTTTTAATTTGTACTTTTTTAAGTATTTTTACTATGTATTATTTTTAGGGTTGAGTCTGCTCATTGGAAGTTAAAGCAGATGTTAGGGAATAGTATAGATGACATGGTCAAATATTGGGAGGCTATGAATAACAACTTAAAGTTACAAGTGGACAACATTAGAGCTTCTTTTTCAAAAAAAAATTATGAAGTTGAGCACGCGCACGTAAGTCCATTATACAGTAATTTATGTGGTTCAGTGTCTCGAGCTTCTTTGAGACGCATTGCTGAAGAGTTATTGAGAGTTGATTATGTCGGAACTAACACTAGAATATGTGGTTGTAGTCTTATAACAACATATGGGTTACCTTGTGTTTGTGAGTTAACAAGATACAGACTTGGTGGTATACCAATACCAATAGATGTTGTGCATGTTCCTTGGAGAAAACTAACTATAGAAGTTGAGTTGGAGGTAGATGCAGATGATGGATCAAAGGTGGATATGAGTAGTGCAATAGATGAATTATGGAAAAGGTTTAAGTCACTAGACGTTGTTGAGAAAAGAGTATTAAAAAGTAAAGTTTTTGAACTTGCCTACCCCACAATGACTTCTTTGTATCCACCACATGAGAAAATAAAAACCAAAGGGGGAGTCAAGAAGAAAGGAAAAAAAAACCAGTAGGGTATGATGTTTATAGGGACCCTTCGTATCATGAGTGTGTTAATAAAGCATCTCAAGCTTCACATAAGCAATCCCAACCATCACAGGCTTCGAAGAAGTTGAAATTATCACAAATCTTCCGTGAGGCAATCTCAAACATCACAGAAGCAGTCACAGTCATCTAAGCAGTTCATCTCTCAATTTCCTAATCATATTAGGTCATATATTGAAGATGTAGTTAATGTTGTATCAGATGGTAATTGTGGATTTATAGTCATTGCTTCATTGCATGGATATGGTGAAGATGGTTGGCCAATAGCTCGTCGAGATTTGGGATTGGAAATAATACACAAGGAAATATCAAGTTTGTATGACAGCTTATTTGGTAATCGCTGAGCAGAAGTGAGAGAATCTTTAATGATATAGGCATTTGGTCCTTAACCACTACAAAAATGGTTGAATTTACCAGATATGGGTTACTTGATAGCAAATTGCTATAATGTTGTACTTGTCTATTTAGGCAATCTGTGCATGACTTTCTTCCTTATGACAAGTTCATATTCACCAAATGTCTCCATTTATTGCATTGGTTTTGTAAACCGAAATCATTGGGTTCAGGTACTTAGTTATTTGTATTAAAAATGACTAAATTTATTTAGTTTATTTTATTAAACATATCACTTAATGTTTTGTTTTCTTATTTATTCAGGTAAACATGAAAGAAGGGTTTTCATTGCCACCAGTCACATTAGATTGGAAGAAGTTTCATTCTCCAACAACAACATCTTGGATGGTAGGATTTGCAGAAGGTCTACAATATTGACAACAACTTACACCTATATTACCATGAATATGTAATCAAAACAGGAATAATGAATTATGTTATTCAGTTTTAATTTTATATGTCTCAATAACACATAATTGGATTCAAAATTAAACATAAGTCTAATAGTTAATACAAATGAAAAAATATAAACATACCTCAACTAGGTCAATAAGTCTAAAAACCAAGACATAAACATAAGTCAATAAGTATACTATTTAACACATAAAAAAACATAAACACAAGTCAATGTGAACGAGAAATACGTAAAGCTTCAAATAAATCAGAAAACTGTGGATCATCCTCTTCAGCATCAACCTGTCGGAGATAACGATGAATCAATGTAGAAACACGAGCCCAACTAGGATCAAATGGTCCTGCATGTAAAGAGGAACCGGCACTTCTCTTGGCGCATCATAAGGGGCGGTACCAAACGAGGATGCGAAACACGATAATACCACTCAAGATATCCATCATCTGTCTCAGATGAGGTGGTGGCCAGTGTTGTTGGACGAATCACAGTAAGGGCGCTCTGATGGTAACCAATCCACTCAACATCAATATCATCAGCCATCATGTAATCAGGAGGTGGGGGTGGAATATACTTCTTGTATCCAAATTGACGTATACATCTGTCAGGAAAATATAGAACAATTACGTCACCTTATTTCAGAGACCCCCTATACAGACATATCTCATCAAATTGACGCCATACTCTATGATCCTCGAATGGCCGCCATATGACATCGGCAGGTGTCAGCTCATCCAAAATAGATCGCAACTCATCCACCTTCAGAACTCCTTGCTTATAGGACCATCTCATCGCTGAAGGGAGACCACAATTTTGCATTGGTATCTAATTCTCTTCCCTTTTTCCAAGTGTCGGAAAATACTCGTGAATCCAGCACTGTTACAAAATTAATAATATTAATTAACTAAATAAATTTATTCATAACATAATAAAATAAAAAAATTAAATTAATATACTAAATAAAATTAGTTAAAATATAATAAACTAAATTAAAAAAAAATACATGTAAGAGAGTAGGATAATCACCAAGCTGCTTGTAACTGAACATAGAAGCATCTCCAAGATGAAGGGTAACCAACGCAGCAGCGCCCCAACTGTATCCTGATAATCTGTCCAAGTCTGTAAATAGTAGGAGGTATCGTGCCTCGACAAGGGTAAAGGTCTTGTAGGCAAAAATTATGGAACCCACCAACATTATCAAATACGTTCTGGTCGCATATGCCTATCTAGAAGTTGCTATATGCTCTTTGAATAAATTGTATAACCACTCTAGCTTATAGTAAGAACCCCTACAATGACGGACATGTTCTTGCACCCTATATTATGATACTCCTGAGTAATCAACAGCAAGTCCAACAGCAATCGCTTATATGATATGTTGCGGGGGCTAGAACACTCCCCTGATGGGCAAGTGAAGCAGACCAGAGACATCATCCAGAGTAATGCTCATCTCACCAAACAGCATGTAAAATAAAGATGTCTCTAGATGCCATCTCTCCACAAATGCGAAAATCAGGTTTGTGTCTATCTTCGTCAAAATGTTTCTCTGGAGTGAAGATAGACCAGACCTAGAAACCCAACCATTCATCTTTCTTGGAAGTTGTATGAAACCCTCACTACAAGCTTCAGCTCATGTCCAACAACCTTCAGCTCTTTCTTCGGGCCTCTCTCCTGAAAACAATTAAAAATACGAATATTATAAAACACAACATTAAAAATTCAAATATTATTCAATATCAAATACATGTTACTTACCTCACCAAACCATACATGTCTAGCAATATGATGCTCGTATTTAACCAACAGAGATGTATCGTAGGGCCTTTCTGGATAGCCAACTGGCGGTGTTACGGCTGCGAATGCGGATGCACCAATATGCTCTTCTTCATCAACAAATCTCGATGAAGTGCCCCGTTCTAAAGCACCCCCTGATATCCTAGCGCTTCGTGTTCGCACCACTAGAAAAAAAACAAACAAAAAAATAAGTAACGTAAAAAAAAAACAATATCGGAACACATATCAAATGAGTTCCAGAACTCAAAAAGCACAATACCATAACTCATTTCATGAGTCTTTCGGAATGCAGGCATAATAGAACCGGAACACATTTGAGAAGTCTTTCGATAAACACTTTAACAAACTAGAAGACTCTTCAAATGAGTTCCGGTCCACAAATTAAAATATTTCAATCTGGAACACTTAGTTTAACTGTTCCGGAGACCAAAATGTGAACCAGATGTCTTTGATGAAGTGTTCTGGTTTGGAGAATATTTTTTGCCTATTCCGGAAGTCTTTTGACATCGTAAATGAAAAGTGGAATGGTTCTGAAAGATATATCTATTTATATGAGAGTATTTTTGTCCAAAAAAATTTTGTGCAGGGGTATGTGATATTGAGGGATTCAACCTATTTTACAATTATTGCACTCTTGAATTTTAATTACCAGCATTCATATACTTTTTTAAATAAAAAAATTGAGTATCTACAAATTGTGTATCCTAATCTCTCAACTCGGCAAGTATCTAATATAAAACCTTTTTTTTAAAGAGAATTTGAAATTATGACATGTTTTGGATTGAGTGTGAGTTTTGGATCTCTGATTAAGAAGAAAGTTTACTTTTCATCTCATCCAACTCATTACGTTCAAATACTCTTGATTATCCGCATTCACATAATTAAGAACACTAACTTTTCAATCAAGATTACATAATTTGATAAAATATATTTAAAAAAATTATTTAATAACTTAAAATTCAAATGCTCATTGTATTATGTGGTTTCGAGGTTGTTTTGTACAGTGTTAATAGGGTGTTAATAGGCCATTTTACTATGTTGACTATAGATTTCTCGAATGCTTTCAACGTGGTAGATCGATTAGTCCTATTGTGTGAGGTGACGAAGAGATACTCATCTATATCTTTGTGGGTTGAGTTTCTTTATTCCCAAGCAACAAGGTTGTACCTTGGGGATGGACATATTATGTCAGCCACTAGAGTGCAACAAGGTGACTCGTTAGGACCGCTCATTTTTTCCCTTGTGTTACACACATTCATTCATCAAGTTAGATACAATTGTAAGCTTATTCTTTGTGTCCGGTATCTTGATGATCAGACTATTTTAGGGGAGTCACAAGATGTGACTAAAGCTCTTGATATCATTTGGGAGACAGATCCAAGATTAGGTCTTGAATTGAATGTTCGTAAGACTCGGATCTTTTGGCCTTCATGTGATGATAATCAACTTCGTAGGAATTTTTCCCATCGAACATTTGGAGGTCAATGTTGGGGATGAAGTTGCTTAGAAAGGTTGTTAGTTGAGATGAAGGCTTTATCAAAGGGTTGTTCATGAAGAGAGCTTCTAGAATTATTGAACTAATACATCTTCTACCACAACTAAGGGGTCATCAGAGTGAGTTTATTCTACTTAGATCATGCATGGGTATTGTCAAATTGTTTTATAGCCTAAGAATATGTCAACCTAATCATATGAAGGAAGTAACTATTTGGTTTAATAAAGAGTTGCGAAGGGCGGTTGAAGAAATTGTTGTTGGTGGAGGTCCTTTCTTCGGGACAATAAATGGTGGCTTATTTACCAATTAGAGTTAAGGGTTATGGTTTGTAATCGGCAGTAGAGGTTGCCTCATACGCTTTTGTGGCTTCTAGGGCCCAATTTTAGGTGTTAAGGGATCAAATATAGAGAGATTGTGGGGTATATGATATGGACTCTAATTTCAACAGAATTTTGAATGGTCTTAGTGTTGCGATTCTAGATTTTGACCTTAGTAGTTTTACTAGCAAGGATATCGTCCCTCCTAAAGCACCACATGTTTTGGCGAGTGTACTTTTTAATAAAATTGTTAAGGACATGGATGTAAAGTTTGATATGACCATAAGACAAAAAGCAAATTTTGGTTATTTGCAAGTCGCGCATGCTCAGGACTTTCTTCTTGTTATTCTATGGATGAGTTATGCCAACATATGTCATTGGTGGAGTATCGTACTATCCTAAGATACTGCCTTATTATCCCTTTATTTTCTATTCATGAAGTTTGCTTTGTTTATCGTAAGACGTGTTTGGGTACATTTTGAAGAACATGTGATTTATTGTAGGGAGCTTTCGAGTTTCAAATGTCAACATGACCTTCTTAGAAATGTCATGTTTGATATATTTTGTCGGACCGGAGTATCTGTGAAGAAAAATGCGTCTATGAATTTTTTGACTGACCACGTGAGGGGGATCGACACTTAGGCCAGCAGATGTTCTGGTGTACGGGTGGGTAGGGGAAACATGTTTGTATGAACTTGACTTACGTTTTTCCACTTGTGGAACTGAAGACTAGCGGTTTTACTGTGGGATATGCGGCTCTCAAAGTTGTTTCAAGTAAAGTGGTCAAATATGAAAAAACGTGTTTCGATAATCAAGATGCTTTCATACCATTTATCTTTGATATTTTTATTTTCTGACACCAGAAGCAATTGATCTTCTACAGAAAATCAGAAGACTTATGATGATAATTTTGTATTTCTTATGTCTGCAAATGTAATTTTTAAAAAAATTAATTTTATCATCTAAAAAAGAGTAGTGGTGCACCTTATTGTTCATTTGTCTTTTATTTTTATATAAATTTTATTATATTAAAAAAATTATTATAGGATAAAACTCCTAGAATTGGGAAAAATCAAATCGACCTAGAATCTTTGTATTTGGGGTCAAAGATTTGATAGAGAGAAAAAACAAATGGATCTTATAATGGAAATGAAAAAGTGTTTGGAAAAATTTTAATTTAAATAGTTTAATCTTACTCTAATAACGCTGGTGGGGGTCCATATCATGTGAGGTCATCTTTAGAACTCAAGTACTACACTTGAGTGAGATGATAAATCATATGAAGTAGGGCAATCATTTTGGGAGTACTTTAAGGTTAAAGTGTTAAACAAATTTGTTCAATTTCAAGGACGAAATTAACATTAGAAAATACTCAATGACATAAACAGTGAATGTTGAATTGTCTATATCAACTAGTATGTGACAAACACAGGTGAGCTGGTATAACAAAACTAAAACATGGACAATTTCTGTCCTTATAATTTTTACCATATGCATCCATAATATGAGTGAAATGGTTCTAGTTTTCTCATAAGATGGTTGAAAACTATGATGAGGTGGCAACATTATTGTGATGGCATGATGATGGAGAATGGAGGCTCATTACATGGCACATGCATGCGATAAATGAATGTCACTCTCTGATTCCCCGTAATTGGGAGCAAACAAAGGGTTCAAAACCCCATACATAAAGAATTTGGTTTGCAACAAGGAAAGAGTCACAATAATGCGTCATAAAAGCATCATGGTCCTAACTCTACTACTACTACAAACATAATACTGGCTCTATGAATTCATATAACTGCTCACATTTTTGACCTTGTGTTGGAATATTCTTTTATAACTATATGTTATAGCTACTCTCAAGTATATATATATATATATATATATATATATATATATATATATATATATATATATATATATATATATATATATATATATATATATATATATATATATATATATATATATATATATATATATATATATATATATATATATATATATATATATATATATATATATATATATATATATATATATATATATATATATTCACATTTTTATATGTATTAAAAAATGTAATTATTGTTGAATGAGAAAGAAAAATTACAAGAAATTTTAGAAAATTGTTTATTATTAATAATATGAAAAAGATAAATTTAAAAAATTGATAAAATAGAGAATAATAAATATTAAATAATATATTAAAAAATATATAATTAATAATTCAATGATATTAAAACAATTTATAATTGAATAAGAAAAACTTTCTCTAAGTGATTTATAGTAAAAATAAAATAAAAAATTGAGAGTAACCAATTAAGAATCATAAATAGAGACGGAGTTAAGTAGGAGTGATAATAGATAGAATTTAGAGAGTATTATAGTATGTGTCCTAATAAATCTTTATATATAAATTCATATTTGTGTGGACATAAATGTCTATATCTATTCACATATTTTGTGAATATCCAAGTACTCATACTCATACTCATATTTGTTATCCGCATTTATAGTAAAAATAAATTAATCAATTATAAAATATTAAATATTTTAAAGTTTTTTAACCACAACAATTAAAAAAACAAAGATTCTATTGTTGAATTATAAAATAAACAAACATTTATATTAGAATGTGTGAAATTTTATGGTGGTATTTTTTTATAAAAGAAATAATAGACATACACTTTTATATAATAATATAAATGATAATATATATTATACAGATATAGGACGGATTGGGTACTAAAGTGTCGTATCCACACTCATACTAACTTATTTTATTGAGTATTAACCTATTGCTTGAGTCAATTTTGTAAATTTTCCATTATCCCTCTTAAGCATTTTTTACTAATATCCAATAGATATAGATTAAATTGTCATCCTTAGAGTTAAGTGCTAATTTATGGGTCCTAAAACCTCCATTAAAACTTTTATCAATTTTTCAATACTAAATTTTTTTTTCTTAATATTTTGATTCTCTTTTTGTACTACAATTTATAGTCACCAAATACATATTAGAAAAAACATTTAATGATATTTTTATTCACATATAAGAGAAATATATTTAATCATTTTTTAAATTAAAAATACATAGGTTAATGATGAAATATTTGAGATGGCACGAGTTTAAATTCAAACTAAAATAATTCAACTTTAATTGTTTTTTTTTAGTCGAAGTCAAGATTACGTACCAAAGCATTTTTTTTTATAGAAATTAATAGATTAAGACTAAAACAAAAAGAAAAAACAAAGTTTAATATTTCTAAAATTTTAAAAAAATCACATAGATAAATTATTTATCTTTATATTTCAAAACTAAGAATATGTATCTAAGTCTTTATATATATTTTTCATTATTCAAAATTTCTGACTCCATCCATAATCATAAGTAATACAGCATTTGAGTATATAAAAAATATTTTAGTCACATGAATATATTCAAACATAAATATTAAATTTATGGAAACAATTTTGAGTAAAGAAACTTCGTAGAGGGATAGGAATAGAGAATATTTTGACTACAATTATAAAGATGTTTTCAGAGTGGTGATGACAATTTTTCGATTAACGAAGAGGATACTTATAAAAAATATTAGTATCCAAACATTTTAATCAAGATGAAATTGAGTGGAATTTTGTAATTAAAAGTTGAATCGTACTTTAGAGTAACATAGAATCACGTTTACATAAGAAGAACGGTTATAATTGTCATTGAATTGCCAGACAAGTAGTCGTTGGATGTAAGTAATAGTCTTGAAGGAAATAGAGTAGTACTCATGTACGGTGGATGTATGTCTACATGTTTCTCAATGATTGATACTCCTTAATTGGATTAGACTCGTAAATTGGGTTGGTCTTTACTGAATTTTTGAATTAACCTCATGACAATATTTTACACTCATAGACAGTAAGTTAGAAGAAATTTGACATTTTTAATAAATCTTACATTATAATTCATTTATAAATCAATCACACATTAAACAATACACATTTGTCATTCAATAATAAGAAAAAATATTCAAACAAAAATGTTGATAAACCATACATCAGTGTTCATAAAATACAATGATCCATAATACAAAATGTCAAAATGTTAATATCAAAATACAAAGTAAAAGACAATTATTGTATATATCTGAAGCTCATGTTCCTCCTCTGTCTCATGTACTGAAACAAATATCGTTCATATGATAAGATGGTGTGTAGAGTGACCATCTAAGGAATGTTTTCCTCGAGATCACCCTTAATTATGGTCTCTCTTTCAATAGCCACAATACAGTGACATGTCGACAACAGATCAACGGTATAGTCCATCCTTGCCTATTTTTATTCTAGTATTTCCTGATTAGTATGCATAAGGGGTCTCCTTCTATATCTAGTGTCATATAAGGATGTGGGACTATATAAAACTATTGGATGAAGTTGTATATCATACTTCATGGATGAGGAGTTGGCACACGACATACATCCTCTAAAACTAGATGAACATAGTACTCCGCAAATATCCCATCAACATCTTTGTGGAGGATAGTGGCATGAGCAACAACAGTGGAGTCTCTAGGTATACCCTGCATATACCTGCAATATCACGGGACTCACTTAGGTAGATGAGTGTACATAAGTTGAGACTCACAGGTCAGTCATTCAGAGTACAAGGATATCACCTTTATGGGTGGTGTCTCACGCTAATTGACGTATGACATATTGAAAACATCATCAGGCACAACGCGGTCAAGAGCAACTCAGAACGATGTGGTCGTCTAATTCCCTTTAAGCGGGGTGAAGTTTCTCTAACTGCGGCTTGCAAGGGTCTAACTTTTTCCCAGCGAACAGAAGTATGTTAGGTCACTCTACCATATCTCAGTCTTTCTTCATTTTCATACATTTTTCCTATAATCAAACAAGAAAAGTCATGTCATAACCAAAGAAAGTATTGACAAGCTGACTCAAAAAAATAGAAAATAGGTAAATTTGTATTTTGTTAGCAAGACTAAATCAAAATTTTAAAATTCGGACTAGACAGAACTAACAAATACGAAGAAAAAGTAGAGCATGCACAAACTCTAAGTTCAAATATCTAAAATTTCAAAGAAAGGTAGTTCAGGACAAATAAATATGATATACTTATTGTATTTAACTATAATGTACCATATCTATAAGCTATTTAGGTAATATATACATGTCAAATAAAAAAGGTAAGAAAATGAATAACTTACTAAATATTTGTTGTTTGATCTTGTATTGACAGCAGTGTGGCGAGGTAGAACTTTAGAGATGTGCTAAATTTCAATGTGATGAGGTAGAAGTTTCGAAAAAACTTTTTAAAAAAATGTTGAAATAAGAGTATACTCACAAGCTCTGTTTGCTCTAATTTGCTTAAAGGAAAAAGAGAATAGATAGAGAAATGTTTGGGTGCGAATGATTAAACAGAAGCGTCCAAATTCTAATCTCTATAGAAAATTTGGATATAAAATTCAAATTTTCTTAAAATGTGTATTTGTATGGCTCTGGGTGTTGTATGTTGAGACGCATCAAGGATTCAATCTTTTAACTTATTAATCTGGAGTCTAAAATCCAATTTTTTTTAATACATGCTTTAGTGTATTTTGAAAAAACTTATTGTGTATTTAATGTGTCCAAATTTTAAAATTCAAATTGTAGGAATATTTTTAGAATGTCGTTTGAAATTCTAACAGTAGGGATATTTTTAAAATTTTGACAGACTATATGAGTGGGGTGGAAATAGGTCAGGCCAATATAAGAGTATACGACCTAGCCTACACAGGCTCAAGTCAAGTCAAGCTTTTTTTTTTAATAGAAAAGGCTTAGACTTTTTTGTAAACCTATTTAATTAAAAAGGTTAGGTCCCAAACCATGAAAAAAGTATTTTAAGCATAATAAATTGACCTATTTAAATAAATATAAATAATGTTTTTATTATCATTATGTTATGTTTTGTACTTTGACTTAAAATACATAAATAAAAATTAATTATTTTGGAGAACTTATGAAAATAAGATGAAAACACGTTATGAACAATGTTATAAGTTGTTTTTATAAGTTATCTTAAATAAATAGTCTCACAAAATTTATACTAGTAAATAAGTTAAAATAAATTAATGAGAACAAACTTTTACTCTTATCGATTTGTTAGTTTGTTAGTCTATTTAAATATTATTTTAATTGTTTATTTATATATGTATAAAATAATAGACTTTTATGTATGCTAGCATACTAATTAGAACTTAAAAAATGTCATGCATGTCTAAAAATAAGTCTGTGACAGATTACAGATCAGACTTAACCTTTGGTTTGTTTGACCGATCAAACTTAAACTTGACAAAGTATAACTCGATCGAGTATATTTCACCCCAACATATGAGTAGTAAGTTAAAGCTGTATTGATGAATCCCCTTTAAAAAAATGGACGGGTTGCTAGATAAGGATGCCTTAGGAAGTTGGTGGTGGAGCAGTAGAGAATTATAGTAAAGAAAGTTGTTAAAGGGTTGTTTGTATTTATTTTTATTTCTGTTCAAATTAAGGACCAATACACACGTTTCGTTTTTTAAAAAAATCTGGGAGATGAACTATTCGTTGGGGAAAAAGAAGAGATTAACTATTGGCGGAAAAAAAAAAGATGAACTATTCCATCGCCGGCTCTTAATTTATTTAAGCAAGCTTTTAGAATAAAATTCCTGCATCTTATCATGGTTTCACATTCAAGGCCTAGTGCGAGCTAAATCCAACAATGATTTAACATCATCAGTCTATTTTTACATATTATGAGCACTTGAATCCAAAAGTTAGATAACTGGGTCGCCAATTTTTCAAACAAAATAACAGAACATAATCGTTTCTTGAAAGGTTTCCCTATTCTTTATAGTCGCGTCAAACAAGATGAGTTTGCTTTAAACAACGGCCTCAGAACAAAATTGCGACTATCCACCACATTAGATACTTTGCTATGATTCAGTTTGCAACCAATGCTCCAATTAAATTGTCGCTTTCAGGACTTCTTTCACAGCAACTTCTTGTATAACATACATGGGGATCGAATTCTTTCAATGCTAAAATTTTACATGTCCGAAATGTGTAGTCCCTTAATAAACATTCTAGAGGTAAAAATCTATCAAAACTTATCAACATTTATGATCCGCAAGATTAACACAAATATCAAGATTCATTCCCTATAATCAGATTACATGCAGGCCAGTCTCTACAGAGATGTGAACAATATAGAAATACAGTATATTATCGTGCCAGATTCCTTACTGAAAACTTGTAGGATAATATATAACTGGAATGCCTAATTTCACCTTAGAATTCCTTTGGAAGCTGGTAAAAGATATCACCTTGTCTGCATCTGTAGATCAATTGCTACTGGAACCAACACACCCAAATGGTGTAAAAGAAAGATTTATAATTAACAATAAGGGAAATGTCATTTCAAGGAAACAGAAGTCACGGAAAAGAATTTGGGGAAAATACAACAGAAGGAAATGAAGCTAACCTGTGAATGACTGACCCTGCATCACTCCTATACTAACATATTTTAGGTTGAAGAGTCCTTCTGTATTAAAAAATAATATTAATAATGACCATTATCATATAAGGCAGAAAGCATATTACAGGGTTAATCAGGTCAGCAGAGCCAAAAAAAGTTATAAATATTTCACAATAATTACATTGTGATGAAAATTAATTACTATGAATCTGTTGCACGGACGCAATAAGCTGCATAACAGTTACTAACTTTAGTAGCAAATATTCATATTATAGAATTATTGGGGATAACAATTTGTATTTATTCCACAGCCTTATCCTTTTTAACCATGTGATCGTATTGTTGCAAGACATTCAATAGATCCTGTTTTTGAGTTTAGTGTTAGAAGGGCAAAACACATGAAAAATGTGTCCAAGGCTCTAAATGCCCATTTATTACATTCATAGATCTTTGTTATGATATTGCCTGCCTTCAACTAATACCAGAAAAATAGATGAGGGACTTTACCGGAATCTATCAAGGATACACCCTTAATATTCATATTAGTATGAGGCTTGATTAAACAAAGTCGCATTTCAATGTCATCATGAATAATTGATGCATTTTTTCACAAACTCATAGACATAGTAAGCAGTTTTGTAAATCGCAACATATTTAGCAAAGCGCATATATAAGTGTCCTTGGCCTACTACTTTTCAATTATGATAACATGATCACATCTGTAATTCACAAGTATTAATTTGAATACAAGTCCTTAGTATACCTTTGGCTGCAATATCTTTTGACTGTCATTGAAATATTGATTTGGATGGTTAATCCCAGCATCACATGGCACGCCGTGAAGAGCTTCAAAGGTTAAGGTGCATGCTAACTGCACATCCAGTGCCCATAATATCAGATATTAAATTCAAACGTTAACTGATAATTGAAGTTCAGCAGGTTATGCTGGGACCTACCTGATAATGTCTATTTCGCACTTTGTTCATGACATCTTCCATTGCTCGACTGTTCACCCCCATTCGGCTGAGAGCAGCTCTTAGATTCTCTTCACTATTAAATTCAAACGGCATCAAATAAATACCATGCCATGACTAGGTAAAAAAGTAACATCAGGTAAATGAGGCTGAATAACAGTGAGCATCCCAATGATATTGAAAAATAGAATAAGTTTAAACTCCTTAAACACTATTTGGGTGGAGCTTATTCCCTAATGGTTTTGAAAGTAGGGAACCCCCAAAATCATACAATTTGAGCAAATCAAGAATAAAAGGCACAGCCAAAACTAGAGTAAGCTGTAGGACAGAATTGGTGGCATAAGGAGAGATGTGAAACTGCATTGTCCTTAAGGATCTACTCAGTGAAAATCTACGAGCTATTCATAAAATGACCCGCTATGAGGAGTATGCTATTGTTAAAGAGGAGAAAAGAGGGAGAGGAACTATAAAATTGAAAACATTTACCATTTTGATACGATAAGAAAACATATAGTAGTGGTTAGACCGGGTCAATAAAATAAGAAAAGAAGTGACACAGGAGTTCCTTAGGATATTCCCTGATTTTAGGGAATTTCTGTTATAGGAAAGAGGGAAAGAGATTAATGAAAACATTCTTAATTCTTAATTGTAGTTATTAATTTTATTAGTGGCACTTATGTTTTATTATTCACTCTGTTTCAAAATGAATGTCGTTTTAGAACAATTTTTGTTTCAAATGAATGTCATTCTCACTTTTTAATATAGTAATAATTGATATTTTTCCAATTGTGTCATATAATTATTACTCGGTACATTATTTTCAATATATTAGACACTATTTTCAATACATTAATAAGACTAATTTAATAAAAGTGTAATATTTTATGACAATATCATTGCATTCCTTAATTTGTGTGCAAAAACCTTAAACGACAATCATTTTGAAACGGAGAGAGCAATTATGTGTTTAGGTTAAGAATAAATAGAGGACGATAGGGGATAGTGGCTTATCTTGGCATTTGACCGGAAAGGAGCCATTTTGGCATTAGGGGTGGTGAAGAGTGAAGACACTCCTGGATATCATTTTGGCAACATATTAAATTTAATAACTGGAGAGAATTTTAAATCGCTCTTGAATCTTTTCAGTGTGACACCAAAAGCCAACAAATTACTTATCAAATAAAAGAAAAAATGGAGAAAAGTATATCTATTCACATAACAGTTTTGAAAGCTAAACTATCCAATTGCCTGCTTAAAGAAGTGCTAAGAGTGACCTGAAGTGTCGATAGGGGCAACCATGATGATCTCCAGCACCGGGCGTTGATGAAATAATTTTATAACAAGAATAGGGAGTATAATCCTGTAACATGCATCAGAATATTAGTTTTTGAAACTTATCATATGCATGCATAGAAACACACCGGAAATAACTGAGTGTTTTCAAATCTGAGTTTGAATTGTAAAATAAAATCGCAAAACCAGTCATCTGCAAAAGGAATATATTTGTAACATGCCAAAAAACAGTTAAGTTTAATACTTACAGTTCTCTTCCCTTCCTTTCCATAATTATGGCGAATCGTATATGCATATTCTTTCTCAAACTTTTCCAAACCAACCTACAATCAGATCTTACAATTAATTTATCATTAATGTAATTAATGTAATTGGACAAAAATAGAACAGTATATACAAATATTAATACCTACTCAAAGACTATATACCCAGATGTCTATAGAGATATGGGATAGATTGATAGGAATATTAGGAATGGTTGAAAAATATCATGAAATAGTGCACATAAACTATTAAATGCGGAACTGTTGTGATTCTCATTGTAACTCGGCATTCACAATACTGAAAATACACACAAGCTCACATGTTTAACTTTAAAGAATGAATGAATAGATTTCAGTTTCTGATAGAGATTGTGTACAAAAAATAAGAGATCATGTACAACAATCATGTATACCTTCTTAGAGAACTCGGCTCTCCAAAATGCAAGTGCATCATCCAGGTTCAAACCAACACCCTACTCATTACAGAGGAAAGAAAAAGATTAGAACACTGTAGACAGAGGGAGGAAAATAATGAACAATCATTAAGAAGTCTAATTGATTCTCTCTGATCGGTTAATCAAGCATATTCAAATTGAAAATAACAATAATTATTATTATTATAATTATAATAATAATTCAAAATGAAGTATCAAAATGTTGTACTCTGGCAGTTCTACAGATAAGTGCCATACACTAGCAGAATTTGGATATCTGCTAGATCCCAGCAGTCATAGCATACCACCATAAACTATTTTTCTTTAATTTGGAGAACTGCACCACAATGCCAAAAATGAAACTGCAAATGTTTAGACTGTGGGCCTCTCTCTGACTCAATTGAGCAGAGAGAAAATCAATCTTATTTAAAGAAAAAAGTTTTATAAAAGATAATTATAACTAGTGATAAGATAAAGATAAACCAAGAAATATATAGATAAAGCTAAATTTGCTAATAAATTTATATTTATAATCAATTATGCAGCTAAGATTATGCTTCTACAGAAACCAGTCAAAACGTGGAAGACCTTGACATGAATTCTCCGAATCAGGGTTTTATGAACAAAAGCAATTATTTCAATGAAAAGACAAAAGAGAGAAAAATTGAAAATCTCAATTAAACCAATAAGATAAGCTGCATCATGCATACTCGTGTGTTAAAACATGTGAAATGTCAAGCTACATTTAAAGGTATTTTTAATATGCTCAGACCAACCTTGAGAAAGAGGCCTAGTTGCATCCTCCCACCGTGCTTTAAATGATGGTCCTCTTTCAGCTGATTAAGTGTTGCATAAATCAGAAGTTAATACAGATGAGACAAAAAAACAACAATTTGAAGACTAGTTAAAAAAGATAGATGAGTAAAAAAATTAAATAAACTGATGGTTAAGAAACACAATATATGGATCATAGCTTTTGACTGATTTCTAACCTTGTCAAACTGGTGACGCATGCACAAAGGAAATGAGGTCTTGGCAAGTTGATCAATGTCCTTTAAAGATATCTCAGCATTTTCCCTAGGCTGCAGAGGTTCTCAATCAAAATGGCAATTACATAACCAATCCAACATCACATAAACTAATAATAGTGACAAATGCGCAAAGATACCACATGAATTACCTGAGAAAAATCAGGACCTAAATAACTTGAGCACAAGGCTTCCACAATCTACACAACCAAATCAAGTTCAATTAAAAAGAAAGGATATATTCATATACAAAGAGCAAACCACACTTACCGGAGTCAACCTATGTTTCTCCTGTTCTCTGATAGAAGATGTCCATTTTCTGCAATAATATATAGAAACCCTAAGAATCATAAATTCCAAAATTGCATCTGAAGAAAGAAAATTCTCCTAGAATACATAACACTACTTATTGAGATCCCAATGACCAGCAAAACCTGTTTGTAAGGATGAGTGTCTTTGACAACTGACTACGGAATAGAGTGGCTACAAGTGAAACAACCTGGGACGGGATCAGAATTGGAACATAATAAGGATTTACTATAACCAATACACTGATATATAAAACAACAAATTGAAATGAATTACACTAGCCAACCTGATTCATTGCAACATAAGCATATCCTTGACTTAACAACACTCTACGCCCAGCAACAAGTTCTGGAACATCTTCAAATGGTACCTATATGGGAATGAGAGAGGATATCCAAATTTCATAAAAACTAAGGAGGAAGATTGCAAGATTAAGATGACAGTGAGAATCTATAATTTCCACTCCAGGTATTTTTTTTAAAAGGCTCCTCCCACAAGATTATTCAATCTTACATTTATTGTCATGATGGATACATCAAATGGAAGTTGAATTGTATGATATGCTTTCAGAAAAAAGATGTTGAAAAAGAGAGATGAAAGTGTGTTGAAAGAAGATATTCTCTCAAACACCCCTCTCAATCAAACAAACTTTTGAAAAGCCAAAACAGCCCCAAGGATTAACAGATATCATTCATGTCTGACTTCATGATAACTAACTGATTATAAGACTTATATAGGTAGTTGCATTTTATCCCCCCTCCCCCCTATAACCACATGTCTTCGCTAACAAGTGAAAAAGTCAGCAATTTGTTTCTATAGGTTGTTTCCTTCATTCAAAACTGGGTTGGCAGCAATAAGCATTACAACCTCGTTGTACTAAAAAGACACAACTGGAGGTTTTGAGAGAAGATCTCTGTCTCTCTCTCCCTAGCGCACAAAAAATTATGGAAATCACAAAATAAAAACAAGGATTAGTAACCAGTTACTAGTTCTTATAACCGCTTTTTATGATAGACCCAACATTTCTAAGGTATCTGGTTTCTTTTTTTAGGGAGGGGGTTGTTTGAGTCATGACCCTGTCAGCACAATACAAAAAGTTTAATGAACAGGAGAGCCAATCTTGCAAAGCATAAGAAACATTGACCGATTTAGCATTTCTAGTAGAACTGAGGTCATGTTTAAACCAGTCCGTGAACTCATTCATTTGTACAAAAAGCAAAAAATAGAAGGAAAAGATAACACAGGTACCTTGTAAAAGATTGCATCGCCTGCCAAAAAATTAAAAAGCAAAGCAAAAGAGAGACACATCAGATATAAATTAGGGAAAAGCAGGAAATGACTCATAAACTTTAAGAAAGTGGATTCATAGCTTTTGAAAATAGTAAATCCTTGTCCCACATTAGAATAGCAGCACAGACATATCACTTGTGAAATCCCAAATATATCTTTTACAGATATTAAATCATGCAGCTGCCATCTCAGTACTGGATTTACATACTAAAGGAATCCAACGGAAAGAAGTGCCTTAGCCCTTAGGCAGCAGCAACCACTGGTTATTTATATATACCTATCCATTCAACCTCTAACAGGGGACATAGAAATCATATACTGAAAATATGAGATCTCTGCCAATACTGTAAATGATCATTCATTAAAGAAAACATAGTGTTTCTACCTGTAGGTAAAGGCTGAGCCATGGAACGTGCAACTTGTCCCAATTTCTCTTTAATGCTCTGGAAATCAAAATATTCATATTTTAAGATACTCAGAGGTACTTGTTGCTCTAAACTAAATGTTTCTAAAATTCACCTCATAGAAACATTAATAATAACACCAATAAAACAAATGGCATGTCATTACCTCAAATTCTGTAATGTTAACAGCCTTGCAAGTTATGTCAAATTCATCCATGATTGCCCTCTGCACTCATAGGCAAAACACATGATAAATTAGTACCTTACATGATGTGCAAAATACATTTAGTAAAGTAAGATTCTACCTGAGCTTCAGTAGTTAGAAAACGAAAACGGTAGCGAAAAAGTGCACATTCCATGGAGAGAAACCATTTCCTCAAGTCCTCCCTGGCCACACAAGTAGAAATTTAAGTAATTTAATATATATTGAATAACTTAGAGATGCTATTTTAATTTCTTTATGAATATAATATTCTATCTCAATCTGATTGAGATTGATCCTTGCATTGGTCTGGAAATTTTTCATTTAGGCTCATAATGCAAGTTTGAAATACGTGGATGAGGAACGAACCACTTCCTCCGTATAAAAAGTGTTAATATTAAATAATCTCTCAATTCATTACCAATGGACTCATTTTTTAAGAATCTCCCATTTATATTGATCAAAGTGTGATTTGTCAAACAACATTGATTAAGCTTAGGTTCACAGAAAAATGAATGCCTATTTAAAATTGCATGGAACAACAGAAAAATAAAAAATATGTTGGAGGAAGAGAGAGTTCTTACGTTCTGCAATACACTAAACGCAAAACAAAATGAGATATAATATCCTTGTTCAAAACCTCAGAAGCATGCTGATGTCTCATGTTCACTTTCCACAGTTCGTTCACCTACGCAAATGCGGTTTCCATGAAAATAGTACACAAGAGAAGATGCAATAGATTAATAAACTACCGTATTCTTATTACCAATTTTTCCATTTCATCTGGTTTCTTTCCTCTTGACAAACCATCAGATATTCCTTTCAGAACTGCAATAAGCGATAATATACATCAATGGTCAAAATATGCATCATAACACCTCAAACACATACACTATTTAAGTAATAAATATATGCAACGACAAATCATTTGCAGATTTCAGATCTTCACCAAAAAATTATACTCAACTTACCACAAGCCAATAAAACCAGATTTTGCTACTTTTTCTTCGTTTTTTTATAAAATTGAAGGAGAAATAAAGATGTAGAAAGTATGCGATAGTGCAAAGCCAGAGTAAACTATTCAAACCCTAGGCACGAAAACAGCTAGCATTGAAAGCATGTGGTTACGCATATAACAGATCTATGAAAATTGAAGAAACATAACTCGACTAAACCGCGGAACTGAAGATAAAGAAAAAGTACTACCTCGGAGGCGATCGATGGCGAAAGACTCGAAATCTTCGAGTCTGACTTCGAGTGGCGGAGCAGAGCGATATAGGGGAATAGTTGGAGCAGATGCGGCGGCGTCGTTACTGGAAAACAAGTTCCTATGACTGTGAGGTCGGACAATTTCCATCGCTTTCTCTCTTCTCTTGCGGCGCCGATGCAAAAGCAGTGCGGTTCAAACTCAATCGGTGATGCTGTTTGAGTTGCTTTTCCAGTTTCTGAACCCTCGCGCCAAAATATTGGGATTGGGGAACAAAATGGCGGGAAAAGGATCATATTCTCTCTCGTTTATTTTTGCCGAAAAAGTGTATTTTGATATAAAGTTTTCAAAGTACAATTACGCAATTGAAAATTAAATTGTATCAATAGAATGATACTACTTTATGATTCAAAAATGAAATAATAAATAAATGATAGAATTATTATTATTAGAGAAAATGAAATATGTATTAATAGTGTAAAATATTGTGAATTAATTCCTACTATATATCCAATTGCATCATATTTATAAATTTTAAGTTAATTTTATAATATAATAAATTGATAAATTTTTATTAAAAAATATTAAATACTTTTCACTTTCCAGTATATATTAATTAAATTTTTATTACTATTATTTTATTTGTATTATTATTTTTGAAATATGTGAGAGTCACATTCTTCACTAATAATAACATTACTTTATAGTAAAAAAAAAAAGTATTATTTTATTCTTTGCAGCCTAATTTATTTTCATTACATTTGTTGACGGTTTCATGTTTAAGCATAACAATGGAATCCTACTTAGATACTGTACATGTTATTTGCCTCAAATTTAGACAGAAATAAATAATTAAACTTAAAATTTGTTTCAAATGTGTTTGAATATTCTCGCATCGCCAATAGGAATTTATTTTAAGTTGAAATTGTTATTTTTTTCAAATTCATGACTTGTTTTGAACTCTAACTAAATTATCATGTATTAGAAATAATAAAATAATAGATTAAAATGAACATGAAAATTTTCAAAAATACATTTCAAATATTTCAAATAATGAAATCTATATCATAGTATTAACGTATTGAACAAACAATTAAAGTTCCAAATTATCAATATGGTGGATTTATAAACATATTCTTAATGGATAATAATGTATTCATTATTTGTCTCATCTTCATCTTTTAAAATCAAGAATAAACCAAACTCAGACTTAAACTCATTCAAAATGAATTTTCTAGTCAAACATGGGATTGGGTTTGGGTGGGAGCGAATTTTGTTGTCTAATCTATCCACATTATTGTCAATGGATTCAATTACTCACCCTATGGGTATACATCTGTTGAGTAAACTAATAAACTTTGGTCAAATCGACCCAAAAAAACATGTTTGTCGGGTTATTGGATGAACGTGGTTTTCAATAACATAAAATTTTCAAAAATAGTATATGTTTTGTTTAGAAACCATAATTAATGCAGTTAGAAAACTAATGATCTTGAATGGTAGCTCTGATCTCCTTTACGGTGGAGCAAAGTGGACCTGCGTGGTCAACACCCTAATGTCTAAGTTAGTTCAAGATTCAAAACGAGCATAGTAAAAAGTGGATATCAAAGATTGTACATTGCTTTTGGTGTGTAGATTGATTTTACACACTAGGCCAAGTTGAATAGATTTGAGACAGGTTGGGTCTTAGTCATCTGGGTCTTTGGTCGGCTCAAAACAATTGCCCCCAAGGCTTTTATGGGCACTAAAGGGGCCGGAGAAAGCCTTAAGTATCATTGATTAGCCTCCACGACAAGGTCCGATGTTGAATGGAACTGAAATGCTTGGGATCAGTTGTGAAAAAGTAGTGGGGAACAGACGCATTTAATGCAGTTCCATCATTGAAACGCTTAGTCGCCCTTTTCTGACACGTGTAGTGACGTGACTCGTTAGGGTATAACGTAGCTTATAGAGTACTTGAGTGCACTCAACTTGCCATGTATCCATCAGTGGAAATCTAATTGTTGATCTTGTGATTACTTTTCATAATTGGTCTTATCCTCTTAGTTGTCGTTGCTTATAAATATGGTGAATTAAGTATTTGGTAGTTTTTCTAACCCTTTAGCATTCGATATTACAATTACTTTCCATAAAATGTCTTTGTTTCTTCTTCACTAATAGTACTAGTATAAGTGATTTTCAATGTTCTGCTCAAAGCTCTCGCCTTTCTTCGTTTTCTCCTGCTTCATCATTCCTACATAACCCATGTACCATACTAACTCAAGCTTTTATCTTTTAGCATTTCATGTTTTCTAGTCAGGATAAGCGTTAAATACGATAAACATAGTGAGTGATTTTGAATTTTAAACTTCATTTGCTTCAGCAACGGGGACCTCCATTAATTTTCATTTCTCCTTTTAGTAATGATCACCTAGAACTATAAATCATACATATATTTGACGATTCTGACTCATAAAGCATGTTTAGGGATACCTTAGAGAAATAAACTTTGTCATCTATTTCATTAAAGCCTTTGTATCAAATGTTGGTGGATGAATAAATCGTGTCGAGGTCACTATGCTCCCTCGTGCCTTATCCACAAAGGAGGTGCAAGTTAATCGGCAGATGAGAGAATGTGCTAAGAGTTATATTCAACTTCGTCTGATGACTGATAATTGTGAGCCTAGTGACACTGAAATGAATGCTCATTTAGATATTTGATCCTAGTCAAATGTCGTTGAGTATGATTGGGTGGATTAAAAAATAATGGGTATTTCATCGACTTTAAGCACTGAAGTTGCTAAAATGCAGTTGGCGTTGAGGTCTGTGATCCTTTTGAGTGGTCATCCCTTCCAGTGTCAGGGGAAAAAGGATATGTGGTTCTTTTTTACGATTGTGTGGTTTTATTCTATGATTATTTGTTTAAAAGAATGGGACTTCTGATGCTTTTTTCTGAATTTGAGGTAGTCGTTTTGAAATATTTAAAAGTTGTTTCTTCCTAGCTTCATCCAGGTTCGTGGGCATACATAAGGGTGTTTCAAATATGTGATGAGCACAAATACTAGAAGCCCTCTCATAGCTTATTTTGTCATCTTTCCATATGAGACACACTTCTTCGAATAACTTTCGTAATCAGTGGCTTATTTACTTCCATCTGGTTAACCTTTGGTTTGACCCTTTTACTCTGGATTAAGGCGAATTCTTATAGCCTTTCTTAGTGGTAAAGCCTCTCACTATCACAACTCGTCTTGTTTTCTATTGTATCCCAACTGTTTCTCATCACTTTTATCGGATTTTGTATCTAAAGTACTAGTCCAAGATCCATTTTAACAGGGATGCCCATTCCCTTTCTACCAAGTTGGGTTCTCTTTCTTCTGAATAGGTGGTAATGAAGGAGTAAGTGAAATATTGGTTTTAGAGGCTTGGCCATGAGGAAGGGTCTGTTCCTAGTGAGGTGCCCCATGTAACACCTGAGCTCGAAAAGGGTGGAGAGTGGTTACATGCAACACCCGAGGGCGAGGGAGTGGTTGTCAATGCACGAGGCATGACAATGAGACACTCCTAGCAGCTTCTAAGGAAAAAGTGAATTCATATCAGAATGAGAGGGATCCTGAGGTTGTGCAGGTATAGAAATGCACGGCTGATTGAAAACTTATAAGGATTAATCGGTACTACCTATATCAACAATATGCATCTTCTTTTTAGTAGCCTAACCAATAAGAACTCCATAGTTAAGTGTGTTTAACTTGGAGAAATTTTGGGATGGGTGACCTTTTGGGAAGTTTCCCAAAAAGTGTGTGAGTGAGGACAAAGCATGTTGAAAAGACCCGTGTTAGTCTATGAGGTCAGTCGGTAATCCTGAAAGCAGTCTTAGGCGTTACAAATGGTATCAGGGCCAAAAACTCTCCTAGTACGACGTGGTTCAGCGACGAACCAAGCGGAAGCTGGTGGGCATGTAACACCTGAGGGCGGATAGTGGTTACATGTAACACTCGAGGGTTGGGAAGTGGTTATCGGTGCATGAGGCATGACAATGAGACACTCCTAGCAGTTTATAGATAAAATCGAATTCATGTCGGAACGAGAGGGATCTTGAGGCTATGTAGGGATGGGACTGCATGGTTTAAAAAATGCTTATAAGGATTAATTGGTACTACTTATACCAACAAGATGCATCTTCTTTTTTATATCTCGTTCCATAAGACTTCACAGTTAATCGTGCTTGACTTTGAGCAATTTTGTGAGGGCAGAAAGTGGTTACATGTAACAACCGAGGGCGAGGGAGTGGTTGTCGGTCCCCGAGGCATGTCAATGAGACACTTCTAGCAACTTTTAAGGAAGAACCAAAATCACATCAGAATGAGAGGGATCCTGAGGCTGTGTCGATATGAGACTGCATGGTTAATGAAAGCTTATAAGGATTAATCGGTACTACCTATGTCGATAAGATGCATCTTCTTTTCGGTAGCATGACCAATAAGAACTCCATAGTTAAGCGTGCTTGACTTTGAGCAATTTTGGGATGGGTGACCTTTTGGGAACTTTCTCAGAAAGCGTGTGAGTGAGGACAAAACATGCTGAAAAGACTTGTGTTGGTTTGTGGGATCAATCGACAATTCTTAAATTAGTCTGGGGCGTTATACCTCATACCGAGGTGAAAAGAGACGATTTAACACTCGTGTTATCTTGAATACGACTAGGAAGAGACGAGAGAGATTTTTGGTGAGGGCATAGTCTTTATTTTTTTATACGTGTGATTGCATTTATAGATGGTATGAACAAGGCGAGCAAGTTGAAGTTGTTCTGCAATCTTGTAAGTGCTCAAGGTATTATGACCGTGGTAAATATTGGGACTTCTGCCTCTTCCCCCAATCCTCTGGCGACTCATATTTCTACTTTGGCTCCTTCTCATAACCCGACTACAAAAGTTTCTTCTGCTCTCGAGGTGGATCAGCTTACAGTCGTTGCAACCACTTTAACAATGAAAGAATCAACCTCACATATAGTTTTGACAGCGAAGGTATGGAATGAGGGACAACTTGTAGTTTCTCCATTACTTTCTTTTGTGCACTATGCAAAACGTGCTTGAAGTCCATGAGTAAGTTATGGAATATGCAAGGAGGTTCTACCCCGATTTTATAATTCGTGTCAAATTGCTGGACCTGTTCAAG